AGATTCTCCGGTTATGCAGAAAGTAATGAATATTCCGGCATGGAATTGAAAAATTGTTGCCTTCAGCATTGATATTTCGTAGCAATGCAAGATCGTCGAATGAGAGATTCATTAAGGTCTTAGCGCATTTTCTTCCGTGGAACAGAGTCCATCAAAAGTTCTTATTGAGTGATCCAGCAGTATGCGCTTAAGAATAGAGTTAGAATGAATATAAATTCACGCCTCAAAGACACACACCACCACAGCACCACATTTAAGCTTCCAGTGGTAAAAATGCGCAAATAAAATTCCTCCATTGTAGGCAAACGCATTCTACTTCAGTGCGTGACAAATTGTTATGCAGTTGAGACATAAGCACTTTATTTGAGAAGTACAATTTTTGGAACGAGGTCTAATGTAGCACTAAAGTTTCTCCCACATCCAAAATTCAAAAAGGGATTAGGCCAAGATAATGTCAGTTATGCATGTATTTCAAATTGGGTACACTTTGATGCCTACAGATTTCTTCAAGTTAGTCTATGGTTGTAGGCATTTCGACGAGTCACAATTGGTGGTGAAGGCGAGTCTTTGGATACCCATCTGCAAATGGATCTCTCAACCGCCAACCAGACATTGATGGTGACACAAATAAAATAGTGCTTTTACGATCCCACCAAACGAGCGTGGTCGGACTTCTCTACTCCAAGCTTTGAGCTTTGTGAGGAATTGAAACATATGACACTAGCCTTTGAAGTGAATTTGGGCACTGTTAATGTGGTCTCGGAACCACAACTGCTGGTAAATCACTTCACAGCTCTTATCTCTGTCATAATTTCCTCGTATTTTATAAGGTTTTCCTGATGTTGATGTGCCATTCGACTTCAAACATCTACCCTTAGAGTACCTAAGGAAGAGCCAACGTCGGATTCACTCCACTGCGTGAGTTCTCTAGTCATCGACAGTAGTAATAGGTACTTACGAGTTGCCTTTTCGATAAGGGTTTGGAAAGTGGCAATCCTTTGATGCCAAATAGCCGAATAGTTTTATGTATATCATCTCATTCGCTGTCAGAAAGCTTAATAGACCTGCAAATATTAATCGTCTTCCTTTTTAAGTAAAATGCGAAAGCAAAACCGGTAGCTATTGGATCGATTTTGCCTATTTTCGCCCTAGTCGAGGCTCCGCACCGGCATTCTCGAGCCCACGAACCCAATATCGCAGATCCTCCATCTAGCCAATCAAATGACAGTCGCTTTTCAACCAATAAACTCGAGAGTTTTGTAAGGATTTATTTTGACAGGACCTTGCAAGCCTTTATTGTATGTCAAGACAAGGTGGCTCTATATAAATACAACCTTTTAGGAGAGTTAACCATTTTCTAGTCTAGCATTCTCCTATCTCTTTTAGTGCTAATGCATTTTTTACAAGAAATAATGATGTGGCATACTTTATTGGACTTTCGCTAAGTGTGGATCGCTCGGTTTCTTAGACGTGTTTGGACCCTAATGGATGTATGCACTGACTTAGCCGTCTACAAGGCCTCAAATACTGTCGTATTTTGTTTCTCAAGCGTGTAAGCAAGGTCAACGTCTAGTGCCTACTGTGTGCCCTCCCTTATTTATGCCACTATGATTAGCTCTTTGGCGTCGATGTAGGATGCTAGACGATTTTGAATTTTCCTTGCTTTTAAGATAGGT